GTTCTACAAAAAACACAGGAGGAATGCTCCCTCTTATAACTTGCATGCAAAATAATTAAAAAATGAAACAAGCAGTTTGTCTGAAAAAGTAGTCCTAAAACTTGCGGGCGAAAGGAAGAGAAAGTAAAGCAATGAAAAGTGACACACCTGCTGCCCAGCAATGAGGTTAAGTCCTTCAATGAAGGCAACGTTTTAAAGGGATTCACATTTGATTTTGGGAGGGCATCGATTTCGGGAGTCTTGAGCTTTGCTTGTGAAGTGAGTGGAGTAGAAAGATTCTGATCGATGATTGAATCCGGAAGGAACAGTCTCATGTACGCCGCTGCGATCACCGCCACAAGAGTAGAAACCTATCGCAGGCACATTATAATGATTGATAAAATAGAAGAGTAGGATGCGATTCGCGGAGAAAAGAGTAAGTAGTCACCTGGAATGTGTGGCCAGTGGTAAGGAATCGAGCCGATAAGGTGCCACAGACGAATGCAGCGGATCCAATACCCGTAAGGATTCCAAATGCAGCAGCTCGACGCCCTTCGCTCACATTATCCGCCTGAAATAAAACTATTGATTGTCAAAAACAAAAATCTCCTGCATTTTTAAAATCTCGCAGGTGAGAGCTAAGAATAAGCCGGTTTACCACATAAGCTAGAGCGAGGCAAGGGACACTTCCTTCACAAATCATGGAAACGAGAGTCTTGAAGACGTAGTAAGCGTAGAAGAATTTCTGTGTCCTGCTGTAAGCTAATATGGCTGTCACAAGAACCAGACATGATCAAGAGAGTGAAACGACATTGGGTATTTGTTAACTGACTCCTCGTACGAATACTATGAATGATGAAGCACGTAATAAAGCGGAGATACCTAAAGGAAGAATGGTGAGAGTCATGGGGATTGTGAGGATAGCCTTTCTGCCATATATATCAGAGAAATTGCCCAACAGAGGCATCATCACGAGCGTTCCCAGTCCTATGACCTGCTCCAATGCAATCACACGACTTAAAGTTTGTATAATGATGAAGTTAGGATTAAGAAGAAGGTAGAATCAATGTAATGCGTTAGCTCGTTGGAAATGACCAAGTGAGTGAACAGGAGACAGAACATGCAGTAGTGGGTTGGCCAGTGAAGGAAACAACCTTGTGAGAAATTATTGAATTAGTGTTTTTTTTAAAAAAATTTTAGAAGCTAAAGACATTAGGAGTTTTGGCGTTTTGGGGTATGTTGTATTGGGCCGGGCCTGGGGTCTTATAGAACAAGAGTCAATTGGGTTTGGAGCCCACCAAAAAGGCGTACATAATAAAAGCAAGGGCGTCCCGTGTACGGTGAACAAGCCGCAAGGCGCAAAGGAAGATCAAGAAACGACGAAAAGCGAAAGCGGAGCAGAAGGAATGTGGGACCCGAAAGTTACAGAGTGAGGGAGACCATTATAGTGTACGGTGCCCCTGCCCCTCGTAGAAACCGGGGAGGGATTGGTGGGCCACCCTTTTCAATTGTTAGTTGACCGTTGAAGAAAATGGTGTCAAAAACCGGACACAAAAGAAATTGGATGGAAATTTCTTTGAAACGGACAAACGATGAGGGACGTAATTCCTGTATCGAAGGGGATGTCTCGCCTTTTAGAGGATTTGCAGAATAGAATTAGATGGAACTTTTCCTAAATTATATAATTAATAAAAAAGATCTTATATTGATGCTAATATTCGTATATCTATATAATTTATAAAATATATGAGGCCATGCTAATCCATGCGTACATTTTATATTTCATAGTTAACTTACACTCTAGATATTCAAAATCAGTAGATGCCACATCACTTTCATTGTGATTTAATATCACCATCATTATTTTCACTTTAAACCGATATGTGTGTGTGTGTTACATTTTTTCAAGTTAAAGAAAAGTAAAGTTCCTCTGACTTTGATTTCTTTAGGGGAAAAAATTAAAAGCATGAAGAGGGGGGGGAACACATTTCTTATATTCTCTTAGTCCATGTGTCGTTATTCTCTCATTCACTTAAAGGCCACTTTAATTATACATGTGAGTTAGTAAATTAACAGAGAATAAGCCATACTGTCCATTAATTTTTTCTATTATGTATTATTGGAGACATGCTATTCATTAACTAATCTGGTGCAGCAGAACAGGAAACGCACAGTTCCGACGAAACACTAGCTGGTTCGTTGATTGAGGCATACCCTCTTACGAGCAAATAGCAACAGGCACGATACTTATGACAGCATATCATGGATTAATTAATGAGCAAATTAAAGATACAAATGTGGTTTAAGGTTAGATTAATATTAAAACAAAAGCTGAGAAGACAAAGAAGGAGAATATAGTAGGATATATGGTAAAGAAGGAAGGAGATAAGTAAGGAGAAGAACTGACCGCTTGCTGAAAACCAGTGAGGTAAATGGCAAGAGAGCACTCGTCTTGTCCGGGGCAAAGGGCGGCCATGGTGACGTCGGTGATGGCCGGAACCACCATGAAGGACGAGAAGTTATGCAGAAACACCATCATCAACAGGTGACTCAACCCTCCCTTCAATCCCTCCATGTCGCCTTCTCCGATCGATCACCACCTCTCCTACGCACTACTTCACTCTCGGCTAGCTAAGCAAATAGCTATCTAGCTATCTATCCCTTTACCAATACAGCAAGCTTACAATGAAAGCCACCCGCCTCTTTTATATGGGGTTTCAGCCTCTCACTTCACTCCAAGTACATTCACTTTACTTCAAAGCACCATATATTACAGCTGCTGCTGATGTAGGACTCTGACCCGGCCTCGGCTGCTCCAATCATATGTGAGACCAAGCGTATTTGGTAGTGCCCATTGCTTTACGTGATATATTAATTGCCCGTTACAATATAACCTCCCACTGCGAGGTAGTTAATTAATACTAGCAATATTACACCAGCTATGTGTTTCTTTTGTGCACCGCAAGCCCCAATCACTAGCCTCTGATTTGGTGCCCATTAGTGGCCATTATTCGTAGTACTAATATTCATTTAAAGAAAATAGGCACATATTGTAAGAAATATTCTCGGCTGAAATGAATTGTTTAAATGAGAGATTAATAATTGAAATAAGGGTTGGAATAATGACAAAGAAAGGAATGCGTAGCGTCTAAGAATGAGGAAGGAAACTGGGGAGATTAAGTTACTCCTTACGGGGAGAGGCGTGTAAGTTTAATGTCGGAGGCTAATCCTGCAAAAGCCAACATTTGCATCTTCCTCCATACCCCGGGCCCAATCCAAACCTTTGTCTTATCCTCCTCTTCACCATTTATGAGTTCTCATATATATATATATATATATATATATAATTGATTAAACATGCTTTCCACGGTCCTAAAGTTTGAGTATTTATTTTGATGTTAAATATAAGAGATTAATTTATTTTTTTCTTTCCAAATTTCTGAATTTTTTATTATTGATTAACTTGATTATTATTTTTGTAATATTCATAAATCTGTTATCTAACCCTTGGATCTAGAGATAGTAGTATCTTATATCAGCGACAAGAGTACATGACATGGTGAGAATATTCTTATTAATTAAAAGAACTGTACGGTTCAAACTGTTATTGCTGGATCGCGTATCTCGCAATTCACTTTTTTCTGAACGAAATCATAGGACAAGGGGAGGGGAAGGGCGGGCGGGCGGGCGAGGGGGCCCATGATCGATTGTCATCCAATTGAGCTACCGATTCATGAGTGCTTTCACTTGGGCGTGATTGATTGTCGTCCAAATATACGTGTGTATTATGAGAAACTATTGAAAGTCGTGTTATTTCTGGACTCTGATATATATGATGTTTTTTTTACTCTTATTTATAAATTATTTTTAATATATTTATACTGATAAACAAATTTTAAATTTTATTAATTCTTATTCAAAATTTAATAACTTTTCAACTTTATTACTATTTAATATATATCAATCAACATAATAATAAATAAAAAATAAAATTATACATCCGTATAAAAAATTTCTTTTAGTGTCCTGTAAATATAACTAAAAAATGTTTTCTCTCCCTCTGTCCTATAAATAAAGCCAAAAAAGTATGATGTAACTTATCATCTCACGGTGCAAAATATGGGCCTGCAGCATTATGATTGACAACAAAAATTTTCATTCTTGTGATTAATCATTGAGATAAAGGAAGAATATATAGGGAGTAATTAACATCGAAGGGTCATTTTCTGCCCAGAAAATTTGGGGAGTTTTCCGTTATTACGGCTACTACATGGTTACTCTAATATGACCATCCCCCATAAATGATGTATTAAGAAACCATCGATACATATTGCATACTACTATCTCAATATTTTAGTGGAGAGGTGGTCCGTCCTACGTAAGTACAAATATCTTCCGTCTAGTAAATTCAGCAGCATTAATTGATTATATCTTTCATGTCCAGATACAAGGAAATAGCTAATTTTTCCTACAATATACCAAATAAATAAGAGCTGGTAATTGCTAATTATAACTAACAGTTTTGGATATATATTAACTATATTAATGAGTTTTAGTTATAGTTATACTCAAGTGATCATGTTCACAGTCTAAATCCAAATTTAATTTTGTTTTCAGGAGAGACGTCTAAATACTATAAATTATGAGTATTTATTAGCATACGATGACCATTAGATATTTTTTTTGGCCAATTCCACTTTAGCGCTCATCGTCTTGATGAAATTGTGTGGGGGTAAGGGGTCTTCATCTCAGGATATAACTTGCTTGCATCAACCATCAAGTCAAATATTACTAATTTATCTTGACAAATATCGATCGATTTAGCTAATTTGACTGATTTTATTATGAATCGGTGGCATCCCTGATCCGTTAATTATCTCGCGAATTAATTATCACTTTCTTATCAAGCAACCCTAAAACCAGTTCCATTTTTCAAGGGAACTTTAAAAATATGTCTGAGCCACTAACATCGATTGTTTTTTTAATGTAATTAAATCCAATCCTGTGGTAATAATTTGTAAACTTTCAAAATCATTTATACATCAAGGTAAAAAAAAAAAAATCATTTGTACATACGGAACCCCATTCCCCATCCTTACAAGGTGCAGCACAGAACGTAAACGATAATGAAAACAAACCATGAAAAGCAAAAACACAACTCAGAATACAAATAAAAGAAATTATCAGATTGGTGGTGGCCGAGGATTCGATCGAAGAGGCGGCGGAGGAGCCATGTTTCGTCTCTTCCACAGATTAATTTCTGTCTTTGGTTGCAAAGCTACAATGGGCTCAGAGAATGAGATTATGGTCTCATCGTCTTCATCATCCTCCGGCGCCACCACATGAGCCTTCCAATCAAAATTAGCCAAAGCGCCACGTGCACTTGCAAACCGCTTCATCTGGCTAAGTTCCGGCGCTGCTACGGCGGCTGATCCGCCGTCAACCTCCGCAGCACGAGACGATTTCCTCTGATCTCTCCAGAATATCCTCCTAAACGTCGACGTTTGCTTCTTATTCTTAGCCTTCGACACACTTCTGATAAGTGGCCTCGATTTCTGTACACTACTGGGGAGCGTTATACGCTTGGATTTGGCTTTCTTAACGCGTTGCCGATGCTGGCGCTTCTTGTTCTTGATCTGTCCCATGCACGACACGGTTGGTGAAGTGGGTTCAAGAGATCTGGTACTTCCATTGCCTGAGCTTCCATACTTGGATCTCCTTCTTCTAGCTTCATCGGGAATCATCATTATTGATCCCTTCGGACCACCATGTTTATGATATTTGTGAACAACTTGGTGATCCCTCCTTGGGCTGAACGGGTGGTTCTGAAATGTCAGTGCCCCTGTTACTGCCTTGGGCAGTAGTGTCTTCAATATCTTCTTTAGCTCTTTTTGTTTCGACATTTCTTTGATTCCCAGTTCGAAATGGATCGTTATTATATAGATACGGAGCAAGTTACAGCATCGAAAGGACCATGTTGATCAAGTAAATTTGTTTACATAGTTTGAATTTGTCAAGGATGACAGGAGACACGGAGGGGTTTGGGTCAGATCAAGTAGGAATGACTGGGGCAAACCCTCTTTATCATTAGTCTTCACCAATTAAATATAGCTCAATAAGTATCGAAAAGGAAATAGAACTGATTATGAGATAGACAGTACGTATTATGTCTATGAAAAAACTTTATAGGCATCAATAATCCTAATGTAGACTCCTTTTTATTAATGCAGAGTTTAAGCATGACATGCTATTCATAATTTACAAATAACATAGTTTTTATATATAAATATAGGTAGAAATTTTCTAAATCCATGATGAAATGTTATATAGTTGGAAATATAGAAATATGCCAATAAATGAGAAACCACGAGTCGCAATTTCACTTGGACTTGCCGCCTTATTCCCCGCTTAAAATCTTTATGTAATTAATCAAACGTCCATTTCTCACTTCTCTTCCCTTAAATATGGCCTATATATTCAAAACCAGTTTCCGTACTGATTATCTTGATGAACACTCTAAGTTCATCAAATCTGGATCGTTCATAGTTAATTTGAACAGTCCAAATTTAAAATCTCTAATTAATTATTTTTAAATAAAAAATTATTTTTTGAAAAAAATGATAGTTAAGAAATTATCTCTATTTTAGATTCTATATATATTAAAATAATTATTTTGAATAAATTAAAAAAAATCAAATCTAGACCATCTAAATAAAATATGAACAATTCAGATTAATAAGTTTAAAGTGCTCCCCTGATACCATATATATTCATACCACATGAACAGTTCAACTGAAGTAAAAAAAAATACCATATGAATAGTTGACATGCTGACGTACGATTAAATTAATTGCTGTCATGACTTTTTCCATGATGGAGCAATTTGAATCCGTAAAATAATTTAATTTAATTAGCTGCCACTTCAAAGATCTCATGCATGGTGGATTGCCCACTTCCTCTTGATGGATAACGAAACTACTAATATCGATTTCCTTTTTATTTTTTTCTTTTTCTAATCCTATCTTGCGATATTTATTTGAACACTGTCAAAAATCAAAATCATTTATACACAGATTAATTTCTCTCTTGGGATGCAAAGCCCATAGGTTCAGCGAATGAGATTAGGTTTCCCAATTATTTAATTTAGTTGCCAGTTGCCACTTTTATATAATTAATAAAAAGGTGGATCAAGCTAAAAAATCTGCTCATTTAAAACTTGGTCAATTTACGCCTGTTTAATTTATTATTTATCATTTTTCTTTCTAGGTTTTAATATTAAAGCCCTAATCATTTCATTTCGGTTTTTACATTCCCTTTTAGGTTATTTCTATATAATTAAATTTTAATAATATTTTTTATTTACTGTTATTATTATTGGTGATATTTGTTTTGTCATTTGATATTAGTGATAGAAATAAAATGAAAAATCAAATTCAAAGGTTAATATTTTGTGAAAACAAAATTAAAAATAATGATTTGAAAACCAAATGTGCGGGATGAAGAGCCTTTGGCTTCCGACAACCCATAGCATTAACTTTTGAAAATTCAATTTGGATAGTGAGTGTATGATTTAGATTTTTTATGACTATTAAATACCCGTGCATTTAGACAAATATAAATAAATAATAAGTTTAAAACAGAGATATTTTGTTCGAGCTCTCTAACTCAATTCTCGCTCCAAATCTTTCTTAAACGTGTGATTGTGAGTGTAAATTCTCTGTAAAAAGTGTTATCTACGTGAGTTATAACAATAAAAAAGCACTATTTTTATATTATAGTTGTAATTTAGAAAATGTAGTAAATATAACCATTGTCAGATGACGTGGTCATCGTTCTGTTTTCGCCTTTTCAGTCGGTGCTCGCCTGTATTGGACCTCCTCTTTGCCTGTTTTCCTTTCTCAGCACAGTGGCAGCGACGGTGCCCCTGACCCTTCAGGAGTATGTTTCTCTTTATTACCCTTCAATTTCTTTTCCCCAATTTACAATAACGAAGCAACTGAAACCAAATGCCGAGCAATATGTCTTATATATTTCTTTTCCTTCCATACCATTCCGGGACACTGGCTCCACTCAAGACGTGGCGCTTCCATTTTGTGTATTGATTTCATTGAATTGTCGTGTTTCTTGTTTTCTCTGGAGAGGGTACTCTGAGTTTCCGCCTTTCATTTCGGCATTTGCTTGCTGGATGGCTGAAAGCACACCATGTGTTTGCGAAAAGTTGCAAATGAGGGCACTCTCACTCTTTTTCGGCTTTTAGTGTGTAAATAAATTCGAAATTGATTCGCGTCTGCATGTTTTTGTCTACATTTTGGACTAGTTGGTATTCTGTGCTCCGTCTTGAATCCATACTTGAGTTGCTTGGGCAAATTGAGCCCAACGTAGTTCCCCGTTGGCTTTTACCAGTTCCGTTTGATATTGCAGTTGTTATGTGATACGGTTTTGTGCTTCGTCAATCAAGTCACCTTTTTCAATTTTGGGAATATGTTTAGGTAGACATTGGATAGCTCTCTCCATGGATCTGCAGGACTTTATTCTTCGGGCTCGAGTCTTGAAACTTTACAGGCAAGCTTTGAGAAGTGCTCGGCGAGCCCCCTCTTCTGCTAGAAGTGCGTAATCTTATTTGAACAATTCTTAGGATTGCGAGTTTATAGTGGAAGTATAACTTGTTGGCTTCTACATCGGTGTGTTTTTGGGATTGTTGATGGTTTTGTTGGCCATCCGGTACCATTAATTGGGACTTTCGAATGATTACTTCACCACTTCACTTGACATTCTCATAGTAATGTTTATGGTAGGGGTTTCAATAGGCAATTAAGCACAGGCTAAGTTTTTACTATAGGATGATTGGTCAGGAACTCATGCCATGAGTCGCGATTTTTGGGATATAATGACATGACTTTTCTTTTACTAAAACGTGTTTGAACAAGTGTGAGTGCCCGATGAGATAAACAGAGGGATTTTTCAGGAAAGTTATTGTGGATGAAATGCTTTCATTAGATTATTTGGTTCCCTAATTTGGATAACTTGTGGCCTGTCTCGAGAGAGTATCGAGAATCTGAAGAAGAGAATGTGGTTAAGTGATATTGTCCTTATTCTGTATGATTGCGATAATTGACATTGATAAAAATATATAATGTTGGTAAAGATTCCTCTTAGATTATTTATATATATATGGTCCTTTGACTTAGTTTGAGTGATAAGTTATTTGTTTATTTATTTTTTATGGATGCAATGGACTGGACAGCTGAATTGAGACAGACAATTAGACAAGAGGTGGAAAATAATAGAAACTGCACGGACAAGCAAAGGATCCGTTATTTGGTTAGTGATGGATTGGAAAGATTGAAACGACTGGATGAAATGCTTGACATGCAAGGTCACAGCTGATGGATTGGTACGTAAGAGCAAATCTCCCCAACAGAGCTATCTTACTCTCATGTCCGTTGACATGCATAGCATTTCCAGGTAGCAAGGGAACAGAAATAGAAGAAAAGAAAAGGGAGACAAGCAGATTGATTTCTTGTATCCATGACAGTTACTATTTCTGTTTAGCTTGTGTGCCGCTCACAGTTTATTGCTTGTTATTTTAATGCTTATTGCCCCATTATTTCAGTACTTTGAGTTCAGTTGCCCTGAAGAATTTAATCAACAAGGATACGGAAACCTGAAAGAGGAGGTAGATGGACTACTCGGGCTAGAATCAGGTTACTTTGGATATGTTTTGAATATAAAATTGTGACTTGGTATATTCCATGTTTCCCACCATTTTTTGTATGTCCGGACCAAATTGCTCCCTTAGTAGCTCGGTTAGCGACTCTAACCAAGCTCCAATCCGTCCACGTGAATCACAACAAAAGTGTAATCCTAAAGAATAGGGATTCTTTAATCCTAGTGACTTGATAAATGTTCAATTCATTATCCAACCAAAAATTTTAACTCAAGTTATAATTATATATGTTCTGCACAATTTAAACTTTTGATCCATGTTACCTTTGAATAGTTTCAAAATTTTAAAATTTTTCAGTATGTATGCACATTCAATTTCATATCTTCAATTATGACTTTTTATATATAAAATATCAATCTGGAAATCGGATGAAGCGTTCACCCTCCTTCCGCAGATAGATGATTCTACAAACGCAGAAACTTTAAAAATTGCCTTGTGACAGAGGGAACTTCCGTATACAAGGTTTAAGTGGGACTGTGATTCTTGACCAGGTCCGCTTTCGCTACGAGTCTTGGCTAAAGCAGCATCGTAGCGCGGTAGCGCAAGAGCAACCATTTGAATCTCAAACACTAAAAAGAAATAATTCTTCCATTTAAAGATGACACATCGAAGAAGCTAGTGTATCAAATCACTCATGACATTGACAGCGTAGGAAGAATAATTCTCGTAGTCATGAATGTAAAGAATAAGAGTACTTCTAGATGGAGCGAGAAACAAAGCCCCTGTCAACCATTTTATCCACTAACTCCTCATGCTTCTTTAACTGCCCTGCCTTCCTCAGCTCGCTCAGAACCATCTCATAAACCCCTTGATTCGGTTTTAAGCACTTCTCTTCTACCATCTCTCTCAGTAACTTGTACGCATTGTTCCAGTGCCCCATTCCACAATACATTGAGATCAACAACCGGTAAGTATTCACATTAGGCTCAACTTCGTTCTCATCCATTTCCTTCTTCATTTTGAGCACCATATCGGTAGATCTCGCATGACTGAACATGCCCATTAATATATTGTAGGTCAGGGTATTGGGCTGGCACTTGAGTTCTTTCATTTTAGCATACAACCTATGAGCACCATTTATATCATGCAACTTAGCTACGCATCTGAATATAAGATTGAAAGTAGAGGCATTAGGAGCACACCCCTTCTTGACCATTGAATCGAGAACCTTGATAGCTTCCCCAAGATTATCATCTTTACAATGTGTCTCTATGAGGAAATTATAGGTGATCGTATCAGGAGGACATCCAAGTCTCTTCATCTGATTGTAAACTTGCAATACCTTTTCAGTCCTTCCAGCTTTGACGTGAACACGCATGAGATTGTTGAAAGTAATGGAATTTGGATCACAACCCACATCTATCATCTCAGAGAAAACATCATGCGCACGAGTGATTTGTCCACACCGACACAGTGAGTCAATCACGATGCTGTAAGTATAAACATTCGGTTTGATTCCAGCCATCTTCATCTCCCCAAACACACGCTCGGCCTCTGAAATATTACCCGCTCGGCACCAACCACGAACCAGGTTGGTGTACACTATGACATCGAGCTCAAATCTGTGCTTCAAGCTATCAAAGAAAGACTGAGCTTCGCTTGCCCTTCTCTTCTTGCACAAAACACTAATGACAATGGAAAAGGCTATCTTGTCAGGCGTGCAGCCATAATCTTCCATACGGTTAAAAGTGTGGACGGCCTCCGCAGCCAATCCTGCTCTCACGTATCGCCGGACGAGGAAAGAGAACGTCTCGACGGTTATTGGGACACCTCGGGTTTTCATCAAATCGATGAGATGCCATGCTAAATCGAAGTGCTTGAGCTTTCCGGCAAGGTCAATCATCTCCACATAGGGCTCCGGCGCGGTGGGAAAACCCTCGTACGTGGTGGCCCAATTGAAGAAAGCGAGGGACTGGAGGAAAGGGATACCGTGACGGACGCCGCCGCACTTATCAAGCACGCGGCGGACGACTGAGGGAGAAGGAGGGCGGTGGGCGGTTATTCGAGAGAAGTCAAGGGAGAGATCGGGTATAGTGAAATAAGGGGTGGGTGGAATGGAGTTAGGGTTGGGGTTGTTGCGGTAATGGTCTTTGATTAAAGCATGAAAATTTTCAGCTACAAGGTTTTCTTCGGGGGATAAGGAAGTGCTTTGGGGCGTTTCATCCCCTTCTTGTTGAAGGGTAGTTTCTGAAACTAAAGCTAAGGACGAAGAAGAAGAAGAATAGAATTTGGAAGTGCGAGTGAGAGAGTGGCAGAAGCGTAATCTGGGATTGACGAAGGCCATGGATGGAAATGGAAGGAAGCAGACCGTTTCCTTCCGTTGCAAAGTTTTAGGTCGCCTCCCCTGCTTTCGAGTTTTGGCGGGGTCTGTTCGGCGCCTGCAGAGTTCAGTAACCTAAGTGCCGTTTTTTTATTTTTGGGTACAAGTTGGGTGGTTTTTTATTTTATTATTTGGATTGGTATCGGGCTGAATAACTTTTTCTATGGATTAAGGCCTGTTTGGGTATTCCAAAACCGTAATTTCAGAAGCATTTTTTCGCAAAACGAAATAATCTCTTCCACATATTTACTTCGTAATCCGTAAAAGCACTTTTGAAACCATGGTTTGGTTTCTATCCAAACACATCCTTAAAATAGTTCAATTATAAGAAATCGATACTACCAGGGTGAGATAGAATTATAGTCCAATTAGTAAGAAATCATAAGGTCATGATCTAGTGAGTCTTTGGTATTTAACTCACCTAAAATTTTTATTTACAAAATAAATAAATAATGAATGAGATGGAATTCGCAATTTCTCAGTTATAGAACGGCCCTCATTCCATTAGAGCGTTAGGCATAAAACTATTGGCTCTTTTTGTCAAAACTTCAGTTATGACTGAAGTAGCGATTTGGAGCGACCTTCTGTCCAGCTTACAGTTGAGTGGCGTCGCCCATTGTTCGATTTCTACCCCTGTCCTTCTTCTCTTGCCGACATGAGTTGTTCTCGGTGGTTTTTGTGCCGGCCACCGGAGGAATGCAACACTTGATGCGGAACCTGGCATTCGTGTAACAATAATATTAAGCAAGTTAGTATTAAAAAACGGCCATGTCATTCATCTAAAAATAAAATTAAAATTAAAATTTTATTTTATATGTCACCCATTTTCTTACTGGTTTTACTAGGATAGGATTTCACAACGTGGTTCATGCTAGGAAAAAAGTTGTTCTCTTTAATGTCCTTGCACTTCTAAAATTTTCAAGTTCTTCTGGACATGCTGTGCCCCTTTTTACTGATTTGAGGCATAAATTTGTATAATTGTTTTTATAAGAAATCATTTTTTCATAAAGTGAAAACTAGAAAAATATCTTTATTTTAAATTTTATATCTATTAAAATAAAAAATTATTTAGAAAATATAACAAATAAAATAAAATTCAAAATGAGTAATGCAGATTCAAGTACTCACAAATGACAATAGCAATGAGATTAGGGGGCAGATGATTGTGAAGCAGGGCTGATTTCCATTAAGATTGGGTCACAAAGTGAAATTGTCCAAATTATTGGTAGGTCCAAAACCTAAGCCCAAATTACCAATAAACATGTAGCATCGTGCCACCGTCACCGTGCCTCGCTGGGAAATGCTCCAGATGAAGATGAAGCAGTCCGTCTGACGGGGGAGGGACTTCGTGGGTGAGAACGGAGAAATGAGCGGAAAGCTGCAAATATGGCGACGCGTGTCAATTGCTGTCAAATTCTGCACTCCCTGTGCCTGCGTAGATAGCAAGCGCTTCTTGCATCAGGGCCCAGATACCATCGAGGAGCTTCTTGATAGGCATCTTGTCAAGAAGGATAAGCCCCTTGACGACGAAGAAGAAGAATTGATTAATCGGAGGCGACTCACCAGCACTCGCCGTGAAGCACTCAGCCTTTACCGCGATATTCTTCGCGCCACCCGATTCTTTGTGTGGCCTGACTCCAACGGCATCCTCTGGCGTGATATTCTCCGACAAAATGCTCGGAAGGAGTTCGAAGAGGCCCGCTTCGAGACCGACCCTGAAATCGTCACCCGATTACTCATTGGTGGCCGTGAGGCTGTCCACTCTGCACTTGAAAAGCTCGCCAATCAGATTCAGAAGGATCGTGGCAGTGAGGATCCACGTTGACATATCCTCTTCTCCCCATCCCTTGTGTGTCACCCTCGCGGAACAATTATGTAATGCTGTAACAATCTTCTAAAGGCAATGAATTTGTTTATTTCTTGTTTGCGTGATTTACAAATCTGGATATTGTATGTATTCGCTTAAAGATAAGGCTTCGAACTGAAAACTACCAATGAAGTTGTAGATATTATTCAAATTTCAGGCATTATATATAGAAGACAGAAGAAAACGGTGAATTGAAATGCTTTATTACTATGTTTTAGGTTATAGTTCCTAAGTCCTAACATATATCCTATATGTATGATGTGAAACTATAAAAGATTAGCCCCGCATTGTGAACAGCTACGGAACGCACACTAGCACCCACAATTTGTCTGTTTTCATGAATGTTTTTTCCGGGTTGTTGCATATCCTATTCAGTAGCCTCTCCCTCTTCCCCCTTTAAACGAGCTACCCATGTTGATTCGGTACTGAAATGTTTTGGCTTTCTTGTTTTTGTGGTCGTTCGATATTGTTTGTTCATTAGTTAACAATTGTTATGGTGCATTTGCGGTATGGTGCCCTTTGCCTGTCATATTCTTCAATTACGGATATCTTATCTCTTTTTCGAACGTATCTGGTTTCTGGTTTGTTTTGGGCAGTCTTTAGTCGAAGAATATTAGGCGATGTTTATGCAGTTAGTGTCTTCATGCATGACTGAGTGCCACAGTTGACCAGTATGTTGTAACGACTAGTTCCTGAGGAATACTATACCTTGAATTTATAGGTGCAGTCCTTAAATTAGAATATGATTTCCTGAAATATAATGCTCGTTAGGTACCATCTTGGACTCTAAATTATATCATCATTGTATTTTTCCTCTCTTGGTCATATTCTCAAATGCTGTATGGCCTGTGGTTTTCCACATTTAACTTTTGGCTGAATTGACTATGGTGGTGCTCCAAGCATTTTTCCTTCATCATATTTTGAATTCTCTGTATTCATGTAATGTTATTTTCGCATCCATTCTCTTCGTTAACCTCTTTGACTTGTCCGAATTTTTATGGTTTTGTATGAAAATCATTGTCGATTCATTGTCTGATCTTCTTTGGCTATCCTTGCTTGACCCTTCATCTTATTGATGCACGGAGGATAACAGAAGAAAGAATAGTGTGTAAAGTGAATACCCCCCCGCATTAGCTATGCTATTTTAGATCCTAGGATAAAAGCTAATTGATACATGTTTGAAATTTGGGATTTAGATAACATTGAGTTCATTTTTATTCTTTGCCAATTGAGTATACTTTTGAGCTCCGTGCTGTCATCTTTATTTTGCCTTTGTGTCCGCGCTCTTGTTTTTCTGATTTAAGTCTCTAAGTTGCTTACACATCTAACCGATGGATGTTTAGTTTTGGTATAAAATATATTATCTTTCCTGACTGGCTTTTCAGTTTTCCTGGCAGTTGGGTCTTGTATGACTTTGTTCCCAGACAGGATTAACAAAGAAGCATCTTCAGGTGTTACCGGTGTAGAATATTTTTCCATGATTTTAGTTATAAGGTGATTGCACATTGACATGATTGATGTTTTCGGTATAAAATCCCTTGGTGCCAAATCTATTATCTTTCCCGACAGGCTTTTCAGATTTTCCGCACTGCATCAGGATTCCTGCCAGTTGAGTCTTCTATGACTTTGTTCCTGGACAGTAATAGCAACGAAGCATCTTCAGATGTTGTAAGGATAGAATATTTTCCTATGATTTTAGGTATCAGAAAAGACCTTAAATCCTGCTTTATGGATACATATCATATAATGTTCGGATTCTTTTGGCGGATGGATTGTGCTTTAATATGCTGATGTATCGTGTTGTTGATATGTCTACTGTTTGGTTAACATTGCTTAATGCAGACAGATATTTCACTCCCTTTGCCTCTTGAGACGCCTTATTCATGTAGCATGAATTGAAAACCTTTTATGGCGTGTTTGGAATCAAGCCAATAGGGGCTTCATATACATTATGATGAAATGAAAAGAGATGGAGAGAGGGAATGAATGACAGTATCTACAGGACGATGAGAATGTTGATCCAAACATAGCACTAAGCAGCAGAAACCAGCTTTAAATTTGCGAGTTTCATAGGAAGATGATTAGATAATGAGATGAGAAGATGGCGATAACTCACAAAAGCTTGAAATCCACATCACTTTTCGTCCAAAGAATAATGCTACATGAAATAATTAAAATAATTTCATCAATTACTATTTCCTCTTTAATTGTTTCATCCAAAATCGACGTGCAGGCCCCAAAAAAGCCGTCATGAGTTGTGCGTCGGGGTGGGCTAAGCTAATCCATATTCCGTGTATTCCTAATGCCTTTCATGATAAACGTTTCTTCTAAGCCTTCATGTCTGGCAATGATTAAAGGAAGTGGAGACAATAGTGAAGCGGCAAAACTCGATTACTGAAATTGCTTGTCATGAAATTCAAGGCTGCAAATTGTCTGCCAATTGTCTGCAGGGCTTGACAAGAAAAATGCAACTGCTCTCCTGTATGGGGATGCCGAAATCTGCAAAATAACATTCTCTTCTCAGTTTTCATTGCAAATTGAATGGGAAATTGAGAGCCATTAAATTGTAAGATGGCTTTATCCTCTCACCCAAGAGTCAAAGCATGAAGGCAAGGCCTATCTAGCCTAGATACCATCTGTACAATTTGGCCCCGCAAGCTCGTCGGTGTTCTGGGCTGAAGAAGTGATAAGGCCATGCTCTTCGTCCCTCCGTACACCTCATCACCCAGCAAAGGAACTCCTAGATACTTAGAGTGCGCACGTATCTAAAATAACCAGGAGAGCATGGGTTACAGGGTTTCCCCTTTCTTTCAGGTATGGTAGGGGGCTGTGATTCAGCCCACTAACATTCACAATGAACTCGAAGCTCAATAACATTCATTTTTATTTTAGATCAGAAAATATGTAACTCTTGATGGATGGACAGAAGACAAATCGAGTTCATATCAAATCACACCATCAAAATGAATTCATGAGTCAGATGATATCTTCAGCTATCAAGCAAAGGCCTTTAAGGAAGTAGCCAGTAGTTTTTCCCAGAAAAGCTTCGACCCAACATTATTTTTCATATTCTGTTCAGCGGGCCCCACAAAATTTACCCAAGATCCCACTGACATGATGATACCATAAATCATTAACATCTCGTTTTCAAGCTATATACCATGAAATACCTGATGAGTACGCCCAGTTTCTAACTTCCATTCAAGCAATGCACAGGCACCCTTAGCAAGTATCTCAGTTACTTTGTACCTAATACAAGTAACCGTCAATTAAACACGTGGAATTAACACCATGAATAACAACTTAATAGATTGCACAAGGTAAGATTTTCGCCCATTCAATTCGGTTTTAATCATTTAATTACAAGACACGAAGTTCGCAAAAATAAACCATCCTAAAGCAATTTTGTCAAGGCATATTAAACTCTCATATAAAAGAAAATCAAATCTCATTATTTTCACACACACCATAAGTATTTTTGTCCGTGTTTTAGTTGTTACTTAACATATGTGGACTTCATTTACCCATAGTAAAATATAACAAGCAGCAACCAAATATAAATCATATTACTTGGTGAATCACCTACTAGCAGCATAACGGGCTTTTCTAGAATTAACCGATCCAGCTACAGCAGTCATTCTAAGCCGGTTATTAGGGTCACGGCCAACTGGAACCTCAACACGTCCAGCAGTTGGAGAGGGAACCCCAACAGTTAGACTGACATACACCCTTTTGATAGTACGTAGCTTGAATTGCTCTGATAAATGGATATGGGAATGTTCATCCTGCCATCAAAGCATATAGAAAGGGGAGACAAAATCACATGTAAGTCTATTATGGCATTAGAGAGCAAGGATTCCAATGTTTTGCCAAGGGTGGGAGCTTGTTATTAATTTCCACAGGATCAAACTTTACCTTCGCCACAACAAGCAGTCCACTAGTGCCTTTGTCCAGCCTATGCACAATCCCTGGGCGGACTGATGCTCCACACATGCTGGAATGTGATTGTAAACCTTCACAGGAACCTGGACGAATAGAGTAGCTATCAAAATCATCATCAGAATCTTCAGTCTCTGAAAGAGCTTCCTTGTTTGAAATTTCAACATTTGGAAGGCTGCAATGGTGAAGAATGCCATTGACGAGAGTGCCAGATGTATTTCCAGGTGCTGGATGCACAACCTGAGTTGAAGAATGAATCAAGTCAATAGTTTGACCCTGTCTGGCATTAACAATACCTTCTGAATAATGCTTCACGCCTGTCAAATATTTAGGTTATAGGCTTGGAATTACCATGTGTGCAGGTTTATTAATTACTAGCACATGCTCATCTTCATAAACAATATCCAACTCCATATGTTCTGGCTCAGCTCTCAACTGTTGTAACTCTGAAATCGTGCAATTGATCTTATCCCCGGCCTTGACATTGAAAGAAACCTGCTCAAACAATCATTAAACACAAGCTGATTCCTTTATCCAGGAAGCTGCTACAGAAATTAAGATACTAGAGATTTTAACAGGTACAATGAAATAAAGTTCCCATGTTACTTTAAGGAAAAATTAAGGCGAGGATAAGAAGCATGTTTGTTACGTCAATTGACATCAAATCGCTCTTTTCAATGATTCAATCCATGAAATGATCGATCAACAACCACAGCGCTAAAATAAAAACAGAGGCATGCTCAAACAATACCGATGAATCCAGGTTGAATGTAATGCACCTAAGTAATGATGAATTCTTGAAGTTTATAAGCGCAACGATGAACACCAACAATATTAGAACAGTTTCCACAAAGAGATTAGTTCCATAAGAAACTGAGAGATTCAGTGTATGAGTCTAGTCTAAGCATTAGCCATACTTCCTTGGATTTCGAAGACATCACACATCTCAGATTCATGAACTTATTAGTCATGATGCTTTGTGTTATTAAACTTCACAAATGAAGTCGGTTAACCACACAGATACTTCCCTCATCACATATGGCCACGTTTCCTCGCAAGATGCTGGAAAAATGGTCAGTTTTACTACACACAAACAAGCACAACGAAGTAACACACCTCCGACATTACACAAACTTCAAACAGAGTTTCCATTGACATTGAGATTTACCTTATCAACAACACGGCCGTTGACATGAACAAGCCCCGCTCTAATACTTGACTGCACACGAGCCCTACTTATGCCGTTGATGCGGGAAGATATCCAAGAATCG